CTGACAAAGAAGTCTGGTCTGAGGCAAGTTTTGGTGGAGGATGACCAAAGGAACAACAGGAGGAGAGGAACCGGCCAGAAGCTGTGTGTAAAGGCTTCATTTTGGGCTATCATTTTCTGAATCCCAGTTAGGCTAAAAAAAAGAAAAAAAATAAAGAAAAATAATTTTTGACCTATCTCAAAAGAAGAAAAAGGAGGAGAGAAAGAAGAAAGAAGGAAGAGGCTGGGCAGTGGTGGCACATGCCTTTAATCCTAGTACTTGGGAGGTAGAGGCCTGGTCTACAAGAGCTAGTTCCAGGACAGGCTCCAAAGCTATAGAGAAACCCTGTCTTGAAAAACCAAAAAATCAAAAAAAGGAGGAGGAGGAGAAGGGGGCTGGAGAGATGGCTCAGAGGTTAAGAGCACTGGCTTCTTTTCCAGGGGTCCGGAGTTCATTTCCCAGCAACCACATGATGGCTCACAACCATCTGTAATGAGATCCGGTGCACTCTTTGGGCTTGTAGGCATACACGGAGGTGGAATATTGTATATATAATAAATAAATCTTTCAAAAAAAAAAGAAAGTAAAACAAAAGAAAGAGATGCTCAGAAAGGAAGAAACATCAAGAGCACTAGTGTGGCCTGACAAGATGGCTCAGTGGATCAAGAGGCCTGCTACCAGGCCTAACCACCCGAGCCTAATCCCCAGGTCCCACACTTACCAGCTCCTTAGTTTGGATGAATCTTTAGTTTCTAAGGACTAAACCATAAGGACCAAGAAAATATTCTTCCTGGTTGTCTCTGGGAAACCTTTTATAGAACAAACACATCAAGTGCCATGAAGCCTTCCCATCAAATCAGGACTGTGAAAAATGACAAGCTCAGATCCTGAAGAGGGCGTGACTGAAACGTTTTTGAATTGCAGAAAACATTATTTATTGTCAAAAGGTCAAAGTTCTGCAGTATAGCTAAGAATGCTTAGGGAACCTGATGCGGGAGAACTGTCTGTATTCTGTCAATCATATTTTAATAAAACGCTGATTGGCCAGGCAGGCAGTATAGGCAGAAAAACCAGACAGGAAGTAGAGGTGATGTAATGAGGACAGGAGAATTCTGGGAAGCAGGAAGGTTCCTCTGCCACTCCTGCGCAGACCACCGAAGAGGCAGCATGTAACTTGCCCAGCTGAGAAAGGTACTGAGTCATGTGGCTGATAGAGATAAGGATAATGGGGTAACATAAGTTATGAGCTAATAAGTAGCCTGACCTAATGGGCCAATCAGTTTATAATCTTATGGAGTCCTGTGTGTGATTTTTTTTGGGCTTGCCGGCTGTGGGGTACTGGGTGGGACAGATACCCCAACAAGCCAGCCTTCATGTTACAGGAACCCAACTGCCAAGTTGCAAGTTTGTCCTGGTTCTGGAGTCAGAATAAATTACTAAATTCTTAATGGTGTGGTGTGGGACACCCTTCTGTATGCTGTGAATATGTTTTATTATATTGGTTAACAAAGAAACTGCTTTGGCCTATGACAGGGCAGATTACAGCCAAATGGAAAAGCCAAACTGAATACAGTGAGAAAGTAGGTGGAGTCGAGGGAGATGCAAGCAGCCACTGGAGAAGCAAGATGTAAGGTAAAAAGCCACAAGCCTCATGGTAAAATATAAACTAATAGAAATGGGTTAATTTAAGTTGTAAGAGCTAGTTCATAATAAGCCTGAGCTAATGGGCCAAACAGTATATAATTATTATTAAGCCTCTGAGTGGTTGTTTAAAAGTGGGACCAGATGGGACAAGAAACCTCCAGTTATGATGAGAAACCTCCAGTTATAATGGTGGAACACAGCCTTTCTACTCCCATGCTACCGGATCAGACAGTCTGTGACTTTGCCAGTCAGAAGGAAAATTACTCCCTACTTCCCCCTGGAAGCTCCTCCAACTGAACTCCTGTCTTTAGGCTGTAAGAAAACAACTTGAAGGGGCTGGAGAGATGGCTCAGCAGTTAAGAGCATTGCCTGCTCTTCCAAAGGTCCTGAGTTCAATTCCCAGCAACCACATGGTGGCTCACAACCATCTGTAATGAGATCTGGTGCCCTCTTCTGGCCTTCAGGCATACACACAGAAAGAATATTGTATACATAATAAAGAAATAAATATTTAAAAAAAAAAAAGAAAACAACTTGAATTGACAGTCACTTTAATTATGCCACATACTGCCAGGTGGTGGTGGTGGCGGCAGCAGCAGCAGCAGCAGCAGCAGCAGCAGCAGCAGCAGCAGCAGCAGCAGCAGCAGCAGCCTTTAATCCCAGCACTCAGGAGACAGAGTGAGGCGGATCTGTGAGTTCAAGGTCAGCCTGGTCTACAAGGGAGTTCCAGGACAGCTAGCACTGTTACCTAAAGAAACCCTGTCTCGAAACAGAGATTTAAAAAAAAAAAAGGTGACAGATATCTCCACGACATATTATCAGGATAACGAAAATTAAATAAATAAAAAGTCTAGCAGAGTGAAAGAAGCTACTTAGGGACAAAAGAAGGACAAGAGATGACAGTGATTAACAGTTTTCTAGTGAGAGACTTTGCTCACATGGTCGGTCATGGGCAGATACATACACTACAGGTCTGGAGATGTTAAACAACTTGTCAAAGATCACACAGATCTAACAAAGCATTGATTTAAATCAGGAGTTCTCAGTGTTCCAACAAGGGCAGCCTTAGGCATTTGCAGTATCCGTCTTTAACCAGGACACTTTTGTCTCGACTCCCTATTCAAAACCCAGGTTTCTGCTGTTTCCGTCTTGAAACAGGGTCTCAGGTGCCCCAAATTAACCTTGATGACGATGACCTGGCAAACATCGCCACACCTTGTTTTTATGCAGCAGCAGGGATGGGATTCAATGGTTTTGTTACATTTGAGTCAGGGTTTCTCTGTGTAACCTTGGCTTTCCTGGAACTAGCTCTCTGTAGACCAGGTTTGCCTCAAAATCAGTTATTTGCCTGCTTCTGTCTCCCAAGTGCTGGGATTAAAGTTGTGTGCCACCATGGAATTCAAGTCTTTAAAGCTACACGCATGTTGGGCAAGCATTTTAGCAACTGGGCTACATTCCTAGCCCTTGGACCCTGGCACTGTTTGTTTATTGCCGGTCGTGTGCTCTACCATTGAACTACATCCTCAGTGTCAAGGGTATTTTTTTCATTCTTTCCATAGTGGCTCTCACAGCAGTAATAGCTGGTTATTTGGTAGTAACTGGGGTGGGGGGTAATGAAAGGGAAGGAGTCTCATTGATTGCATGTATGGTAGGATGTTTATACCTGTGGCTTATAAGCAAATATTCTTATCACAGGCTTTGAAAGAAGTCATAATGACTACTGGTGGGTCCCACAAGATGATAAGAAAGGGGAGCAAAAACCCATAGGAGACATTACTGATTTTATTTTTCAGGCTATAGCTAAAAGATCATATATAATTTCCCTCTTTAGAATTCTACAGAAGAAATATCTCATTTTCCCAGAGAAAAATTGAGCCATCCTGACCTTTGGTCATAGCTGCCAGCCAAGTAGTTTATGTAACAATCTATCTGGGAGACAGGCTGTTACAAAAGGGACACGGTTCACAGAATTATCAATGTTTGGCCTTCCTCATAGCTCAAAACAGTTCTGAGACAAGGCAAATTCTTTCACTTCAGAGTACTTGTTCAGCTTGTTTATGTAAATTTATATACTCAAACTTAAAAAATTAAACTACAATTATTCATTTACTTATTTGTGTGTGTGTGTGTGTGTTTTCAGGGACTGCACACGCACATGTGAAGGTCAGAGGTCAACTTGCAGGAGTCAGTTCTATCACGTGGGTCCTGGAAATCAATTTCAGACTGCCAGGCTTGGCAGCAAGCACCCAATGAGCCACTTTGATGGTTCCATTATCAGGGTCTTACTAGATAGCATTGGCTATCCTAGAATTTGCTATGAAGATCAGATGCCACCAAACCCACTCTAAATGTTCTTTGTTTTGTTTTGTTTTGACACATGGTTTCTCTGTGTAACAGCCATAGTTGTCCTGGGTCTTGCTTTGTAGACCAGGCTGGCCTCAAACTCAGAGACTCACCTGACTCTGCCTCTTGAGGCATTTTATACTTTCACAATTGAGATAATGTACTTCCTATTGTGACATGAGCTAATGCCTATCTTCAACAACACAAAAAAGATTCTATGAAAACCTGAAAAAACAGGACTTTACAAGGGGAACTAGGATTCCTTTGCCATAATCTTGAAGACGGCTAACATCTCAGAAAGCATTACTTAATAATCTACAAGTGTTTTCCTATTTCTCTTTTGAAAATAGCTTTTCTTTCCTTTTAAAATAATTCAGTATTTTATAGCATAGGAATGAAAATGCCCATCTTGACAGATAGAGACAGCAGTTCTCAGTCTTCCTAACCCTCTACTGCAGTTCCTCATGTTGTGATGGCCCCAAGCATAAAATTATCTCATTGCTACTTCATAACTGTAATTTTGCTACTGTTATAAATCCTAATGCAAACATCTGAAAATCGACCCAAAGTGGTGGTGAGCCGCGTGCTGAGAATCACCACATGCTGAGAATCACCGCTTTAGGGCTTTCTCAAGCACAGCAGAGCCCAACAAGAGACCTGCTGGGTAACTCTAACGCCTTCTGTCTAGAGCTTTTCTGAATAGGTGAGAATAATCCTTTCCCTGAGCCTCTGATAGGCACCCCAAACTAAGATGAATAGCCTCACGGCTGGTACTTCCACACCTGTAAAGAGACTGGTGCAGCCTGGGTGGGACGTCATCTCGGCTCACATTTCATATGGATTCCCAAAAAAATCTTGTGATCTTATTTCAGGTCCAAGGACTCTCACCTCGGAACTAAGGAGCGAGGGTAGTTGTGTGTCTCTATGGGGTGGTGGGTGCCCCACTGCATGGTGATGTGGCAGAGGCAGATATAAGAGCAGGTACCACCCACCACCTCTAATGCTCAGACTGGCTCTGAAATTCTACATATCAGATTCGCCCTTCACTCTACTGTAATCTCTGTGATTTTATTTCAGCTCAGAAAAAGGCTGTGCTACCAGAGAGGAGTGAGTGACTCAGCAAAAGGGCTCTAAAGCCTCCTCCCATCACACGCCGGACCTCGGGCCTTCCTACTTTGAAGATGTCTGAACACAGAATGAGGAACCAACCGGAGCCCACCTTCTCCAAGTCTCCGCACCTTCCCACCAGTCTGTCCCTTGCAACAGCCTCAACTAAATTATCAAGGAAATTCTGCTGCGGGAAACGACCAAACAAAAACCTGTTGTGGAGGTTCCAGGGCAATAAAGGCCTAAAGACAGCCAGAGGTGAGCCAGCAGGAGCCTCAGCAATACTCTGACAAGGCATTTTAGCAGAAAGATGGGGAACACATCTATTTTTGCTTAAGGGGCAAATAAAAAATAAATAAATAAAACAGGGTTTTCCTGTTGACCCCAAACCAAGAGCCAAATTAAACATCTGAAGAACTAAGTGGGTAGAAAGACGTGCCGAAAGGAAAACCTCAGACCTCCTCTTGTGGTACAAACTCCATCTACACCCACCACCTAGCAGAGTAGATTCATTCTCTTTGCATTTGCCAACTTTACTTTGTTTTCTGTCTGGTTATGTGCAAGGCTAAGGCAGAGCAAGATGTACACTTGCCCGCTGCAATCAACCTGCCATCCAGGGACTTCACTTCGTAATCATTGGGCTAAAATCTGCTCCCAGTTAAACTGCAAGTTGAGGGTGACCTTTGTCTATCTTGTTGGGTGCGTCCATTGCATTAACAGTTTTAACTGCATGAGTTAAATTAAAACTCGTGCATGGATTAAGCTAAAACTATTGGCTCTTGCCTGTGATCCCAACACTTGAGAAATGGAAGCAGGATGATCGGGAGCTCCAGGCTAGCCTTGGCTACATAGTGAGTTAGGGGCCAGCTAGGGCAGCATGAGACCCTGTCCAAAACAGAAAAAGACATGATTCGAATTGCCCAACAGATCTGAATGATAATGCCCATGTCTTCGGAGGCCTTCGACTAGTGGCTTTACCCCTTCCATTAAGAATATGTTCCTGAGCAAATGGAGGTACTGTGACCCACACTGATCACAGTAGCCAAGCGCTCGGGTGAGTGTACACCAGGCCTGTTATTTTGAGACATTTCTGCCCAAGCAGGTCTCAAGGAAAATCTGATGGGGGTGTGTGTAGTAGTAACAGACGCTTGGATTTTGCTTCCTCAAAAAAACACAAGGAAGTTAAAGGCTGCACACACCCTGTGGCCCACAGTTCGAAGATATCTTTCAGGAGTTTGGTTTCCTTCAGCTGACTTCCTCGTGAACCGTGACTAGTCCGACTGTCTGGGGGAGGTCAAATCCTACAGTTATTTGCATCCGATCCGGTTTTTTCCAACCACACAATCCCGTTAGCCGTTACCATTAGTCCATTCACGCGCTTCCAAGTTAGATTGCCCCAATCTTGGGGACTTCAAGTCCCGGACCCGGGGTACACAGGATTAGGAGTGTGTGCGGGCCTGGGGCCGTTTGGCAGCCCCGAGCAAGACGCGACCCACCTTCCAACTCGGCAAAGCCGAGCACCACGTCTGAGGCTTTCCCCTGCCTGTCTTTGACATGCAGAGCTGTGATCGTGCAGCCCCAGGAGATGATGTCCACACTCAGCTGGTCTGACCGAAGCTGGAACTTCTCCACTGTCCCTCCCCCCGAGGGCAGCTCTCCAAACACGGCTCTGGTCACCGAAACCATGGGGAAAGTTCGGGCGCGCAGCTACTCCGTGCTGTTCAAACTCTAGCCTTGAACGCGTTTGGGATGATAAAACTTCCTAGGAGGAGGGGAGGGATCCAGTTTAACTCCTCCCCTTTATCGCCTGGATTTTAGCCGAGCACCCCTCGGGGGTGGGAGGGGAAATGCCTGAAGCCTTTTAAAAACTTTCCTTTGCCTGAGGTACCTGTGAGGTAAACTTTCCAGTCACGCTTGCAGGTCTTTTCCTTCGCTAATCCTAGCTGCAGTGCATGTCGGGAAAGGTAGTCTTTAAGAAATTTGCAATTGCATCTTGGGGCATGTAGTTTACACCAAAGCAACTATTTATTTTGCGCAGGCGCGCGGTCAAAAGACTGTCTCAGGTCTCTTCTTTCCCTAGAAGGCTCCGACGAATCACCTCAGGTGGGCAGGCTCAGAGGCCGCTCCTTTACTCACTAAGCCATACTGCCCACCCGCACGTATGTCTTTCTAAACCCCAATATCCCTGTTCCTCTGCACACCTTCATAAGATGCTCTGAGCTGAGCTGGTTGACTGTTAATGTTGGTTATTAATATTGGGACAGTAAGACAGATCCCGAGGGAATTCTGGTAACTTTGTTCGGGGTGCACGAAGTAGCGTGGTGCAGTGGTGATTTAGAGGTGGAGAAAGTCGTTGCAGGCTCCTCTGCTGGCTGATAATCTGTCTTGGGTTTCCTTTTCTTTTTTCTTTCCTTTTTTTTTTTGTTTTGTTTTGCTTTGCTTTGTTTTTCTTTGTCTCAAAGGATTAAGCGCTCATGGGATTGGGTCACCTGGTTTTCAGTCTCCAATTTAGGCAGGGCCCTCCTTATACGTGTAAGCCGATAGTCTCAGATTGTGTAGACATATACTCCCCTTTTGCTCCCAATGTTTAAAGCTCCTTCAAGAAGGGATAAATGGTGCTTGTTTCAGAAGAACATGTATTTTTAAAAAAGGAATTAAGGGAGCACGTATTTATTGAAGTTCAGCTACCAGGTAAATCAGGTAAATGCAGGGTACTGGGTTTTTTGTTGTTGTTGTTTTTTTTCTTTGCAAGTAAGAAGACATACTTCGGTGTGTATAGTTTGAAGACTCTGAGGTCCTTAAATTATTATCTTGCTTTAGTGTGCCTCATAAGTACTTGCTTGCAATTTCTGACTCTGGGAACCTAAGATAATAATCACAAATCTTCAATTTTTAGATTTATTTATGTGTTGAGTGTTTTGCCTGCATGTATGTATGTGCAACTCATTTGTGCTGGGTGCCCAGAGAGGTCAGAAGTGGGCGCTGAATGCCCTGGAATTGGAGTTCTAAATGGTTTTGAGCCGCCATGTAGATATTGGAACTGGACCCCGATGCTCTGCAAAAGTGAGAAATGCTCTTCTTTGCTGAGCCATCTCCTTAGTCTCCTAAAAATTTTAATTTTAATGTTTGTATTATGTGTAGACGTGTGTCTGAGTGTGGGTTTATGCCCGTGCATGAAGTGTCCAGGGAGGCCAGAAGAGGGCATCTCATCCCTTGGCACTGCCGTTGTAGTGCTTGACAAGAGTGCTGGAGATCAGACTCTGCAAGAGCGTTAGTGGTTAGCTCTTAGTTACTGAGCCATCTCTCCAGCCCTGGAATCTTCACTTTTCCTCGTCTCTCAGGCCGTTCTGACGTCAATTATCTGGGACTAGATTTAAAGACACACTGTTTAAACTTTCAGTGACTAACTCACTTTTCCCAAATTAGGCTTTGATAGCCTAGCATGCTATTAGGAGCCTCAACAGAACCATGAGATACAATACAGACACCTCTGTCTTTCAGTGATGAATCTGCTTCTCTAGAAGGTGGCTGGTTCCCCAAGGAAGAGAGGTCTGGCAGCCTAGAACTCACTCCATCTGACTTAGATTAGCCCATAATTCTTGTCTGTGTTAGCCATATGAGGTGTCTGGATGACAACTGCAGACTGAGTCTTTCCTCTTCCCAGAATTCTCCTGTTCTTCTCGCCCCACCTCCACTTCCTGCCTGGCTACTGGCCAATCAGCGTTTTATTAAACCAATACAAGCCCATTGTCCCACAGTGCATCCATATTCCTGGTCTTTACTTAGCCTTGGTGAGTGCAAACGCGCATCTGTGATTAGGAAATTAGGTGAACCGAGCTCATGTTTCTGTAATCAAATGCTAATAAACATTATAACTGTCTCACTCATTTCTGTCTGTGGAATTTGAAAGAGTAGTTAGCATTCTTGCTACAAAGCCTGCATTCTCTATCAAGAAATTAGGGGAATTCTGTCAGCAAAAGAAGAAGAGCCTGCAGCAGGCTTCGGTGAAGTACGACATATAATAACAAAAAGATCCAAACAAGTAAAATTATAGACTGTGGCACACTCACACAATAACCCACAGGCATTCTGTAGGCTGCTTCATCAGAAACCCTTACAGAATCTGCAAGTCTCGTCAGCCCACTTAACATGTGTGTCTGACTCATACAGAAGCCCTTTCAGCAATGCCGTGTTAGCAAAGATGCCTGAGAACCTCTTCTGTGAGCAGGAAGACGACAGTTTTCATTTCTCAACCTCCAGTTCTCAATGTTCTGCCAAGCTCATGCTTCCACAGAACAAAAGGAAATGCACCTTGGGTGGCTAGCACCAAACGTCGATGTTCTGGTGAAAACTTCACCCCAACCCCCGGCATCCACATACCCAAAGAGTCTGGAATGTTCGGGGGAAGCGCCATCCCAAGCCCCCTCCTCCATCTCTCTCCAAAGCCTGCTGCATCTCAGAAAGTCTGCCAACTGATGACCCCTCCCCAGAGATCCTCAAGACCACTCCCACAGGGTACTAAACTGCCCCCCAGAAAACAGACATGTGACTTTCCAGTCTTTCTTTCCCATCTCCTCTCTGGGAGCCTGGAAAATCATCCGCGATTTATTAATTAAATTAAATTTAAACCTGGACTCTTTCTAATTCGATTTGATTTGGTCTGATTGGATTGCTGCGTCGGCGGAGAGGCTTATGGGGTGCAGAAGCTTTTCAGTCACCAGGGAAGTTCTTATTGCTTGGCTTGGTATGAAACATTGCATTTCCCTAAGATGTGAAGGGTAGATGTCTTCATTTCCTTTTCCTGTGGCTTTGAAGTGTTTAGTGTATTAAACCGGACTACCTTATGTGAGCTACAAACCTTGCTTTCATTATTCAAATACCCAGTTTTCTTAATCTTGCAGTACTACCCTACATTCGAAGTCTAAGTCTACAGCAATGTGCACTGTCCATAGGGAGGTCAGCATCAAAGCAGTAATGGAGAACGAACCATTATTAAATTCTACGAGGCATTTGCTTTTACTTTTCAGAGAAAGGCTGGGGGTTAAGTTACATGGTAGAGGAGTAGAGATTGTGACAACATTTTTGTAAGAAGAATTACTTATCTTCTCCTTCAACCAGAGCCAGAGGTGCCAGACTAGACAGTTGAAGAAGGCTTGTTTCTCAGTGGTGCATAGTCCTCAAACCCGGACCCAAGGCCTGAGGAGATGTGAGGCCATAGACCCTGTGCTCCACACACCACACGGAAACTACAGGCTGTGAGCTGCTCCCGGGACTCAGCTCCAGGATTCATAAAGATGACCCCGAAACCTTAAGCTATTGGCAGGCTGCAATAGGAAACTCTTGGCCTATTTGGAAAGGCCTGGAGGAGGCTCTTTCCCATCAGGTTCGCCTGGCTCTGCATCCTGTCCTTTCTCATCGTCTGACCTCCTGTGCTGTTTAACGTCAGTACTCTCCCCGGCGCTCGGGCGTCACTATCCGAGATTACTCCTTCCTTTCCAAGAAAAAAAAAATGGTTTTTGTAGTTGTTCCACTCAATTACTGATTTTAAGACTCAATTTTTTAAAACTAGTTTTGAGTATTATATTTACGTTCTTTCCACCCCTCCAGGAGACTGGAAGGAGGAATTTCCAAGTGTCAGCACAACTTCGAAAAGAAATGTTCTTTGACTGAAGCTACCTGAGGTACTGTCTTAAATTTTATCTAAAGTCCTTAGGGTGCTTCCCGCTAGTCAGTAGAGTTTAGCAGAATAGCCTACTGACTGCAGAGACCAGGTTCTCACCAGACATTACACCTATGGATATCTTGATCTTGGACTCTCTAGTCTCTAAAACTGTCAAAACTAAGTGCTACCATTTTTTAAAAAAGTTTTTTGAGACCCAGGCATGGTAGCATATACCTTTAATCCCAGCACTCAGGAGGCAGAGTCAGGTGGATCTTCAAGTCTAGCCAGATGAAGCCAGCCCAGTCTACAAGGTGAGCACACAAAAACCCTGACTTAAAAACAAAATGAAAAAAAAAATTAAAACAAGGCGTCTTTATATCCCCCGGCTATCATGAACCTCACTCTGTAGACCAGGCTAGCCTTGAATTCAGAGATCCAACTGTCTCCACCTGCTGTGCGCTGGGATTAAGGGCGTGCATCATCACTCCTGGGTATAGTTTTTGTTGTTGTGGTTTCATTGTAGTGTCACTAATAACAAAAACGGGTGGCACTGGGATGAAATTGTGAATCTCTTTAGGACAGAGAGGGAAGGAAAGACGGGGAAAGCTAGAGCTAAGCAGCAAACACTGGGACAGCCACGCATCTGGGCATCAGGCTCAGGATTAGAATAGGAAGTTTTCCGCAGGACCTTTGTCTGGGCTCCTGAGTGGCGACTCTAGGGTCCTAGGAAAAGCTTGATTGTCAGTAGACAGCCAAGCATAGCTAGTGTAAAAGGCCTAGCTAAGTAAGTAGGAGGACTCTGGTAGACCTAACGTCTCCATAAACTCAAAGGTCAACCAGCAGGTCAAAGTTCAGTGATAGGCAGGATATTCTGTCTCTTAGATGACTGATACCATCGGGTAGGGCTGAACCTAATTCCAGTGCTCCTGATCCGCTGAATGCCCACAGAATGTGGTGTAGAGTCCAACCAGAAGCCTGGCACAGAGGCCGGCAGGGAATCAGGCCCTCCCTGGTGCAGGCTTTACGAGAGCAGTGTAAGCCCCACTGCTCTTCCTCTGAATGTAGGTCAGAGAATTGCATCAGAGTGGCTGCCACTTCTGGCTTAACCACAAGAAATGTGCCGCAAAGGTCACCGGAGGTAAGGAGGAGAGAACTATGACAGAATCCCTGTGCAGTGCGTTGTTGTTTTGACAAGAAATGCATGTCATTTCTCCATAGAACAACCAATTCTGTGACACCAGCTGTGTGCCCGAGGAAGGTTGGGTCTCCAAAGAGAATAACCCAGGGTGTGACACTTGGGGCCTCAGGAGCAAGACTTCAAAAAGCAAACTCTCTCTCACTTCCCCTGTCCTTTTGTGTCTTATTCTCCCTTTTCCTTCTGAAGTTAGAACCAGAAATTAGAGTCTCTTCTGCTAAGGATATTCATAGACGAGATTGGAGAGGTGGCTCAGCGGTCAGGAGCACTCGCTGCTCTGCCAGAGGACCTGAGTTCTGTCGCCAGCACCTCTGCAATCTGCTCCCAACTGCCTGTGACTCCAGCTACAGGGAATCCGATGCTCTCTTCTGTCCTCTGTGGGCACTGGCACACATGTGGAACACACTTACACAAACATAGATACAGAAATAGCAGAACTACTTTTTATAAGGGAGGTTCATAGAAACTAGATTCCTTTTTCCAAAAGTAAGCCACAGTACCTGAGAATATTGCCTGAATTTCCCCTGGCTTCTTTGTCATCTCCCTTGTCTGATACCAGGCCATAGGACCCTTATTTCATAACGGGTTCTGCCTATTCCTGGGAAGAAATAACGCTGTATCGAAAAGCCAAGAGGGATCTACAGACGCACAGGCCTTACTGGGTTCCTCTCGGATCACACCTTCTGTCTTAGGATCTCCACTGTGAAACGACACGATGGCCATGGCAACTCTTGTAAGGGAAACATGTAATTGGGGTGGCTCACTTACGGTTTCAGAGGTTCAGTCGTTTTCATCACGACAGGGAGCTTGGCGGCATGCGGGCAGATGTGGTGCTGGAGGAACAGCTGAGAGCCCTGCATCTTGCAAGTAACAGGAAGTCAACTGAGTCACTGGGCGGTATTCTGAGTATAGGAAACCTCAAAGCCCACTTCCACAGTAACACAGTTCCTCCACAAGACCAGATTATAGGAGCCAATCACATTCAAACTACCGCAACTTCTCTGTCCAAACACAGTCATGCTTCCCTGAGTCTAAGCATAAAAATCGGGAGCCTTGGGGCTGGAGAGATGGCTCAGCGGTTAAGAGCACTGACTGCTCTCCCAGAGTGACCCGGGTTCAATTCCCAGCACCCACATGGTAACTCACAACTGTCTAGGATCCAGTTGCAGGGGATCTGACACCTTTACACCAATGCACATAAAATAAAGTTAAATAAACCATAAAATAATATTTTTTAAAAAATTGGGAGCCTTACCAGGTAGTGGTGGTGCATGCCTTTAATCCCAGAATTTGGGAGGCAAAGACAGTCAGTTCGAGGCCAGCCTGGTCTACAGAGTGAGTTCCAGGACAGTCTCCAAAGCTACAGAGAAACCCTGTCTCGGAAAAAAAAAAAAAAATTGGGAGCCTTCTCTGTTTAATTGGAACTTCATCCCAAATGTCTCACGTGACCCAGTCTGGCCTCTCGAACTTGATCTGTAGTCAAGGTTGAGCTCAAACTCCTGGGATTCCTGCCTCCATCTTCTGAGAGCCGGGATTACTAATATGTGCCACTATATCCAACTGCACATAAACTTTGATTAAATACTTTTTTTAGTCTTTTCTCTTTTTTCTAACCTACCTGTCTTTTGTTAGAGATGGGCCATGTATTAAATACTTTTCTTTTATCTTGATAAAACTCCATGACCAAGACAACTTATAGAAGAAAGCATTTATTTGGGTTTCTGGGTCCAGAGAGGTAAGTGCCCATTGTGGCACGGAGGCATAGCAACAAGCAGTATAGTAAGCAGAGCAGGGAGCGGAGAGCTCCTATTCCAGCCTCCAGTATGAAGCAGAGAGAACAAACTGTAGCCTGACCCCAGTGGCAGATTTCCTTCAGCAAGGCACTCCATCTAAGCTTCCCCAAACAGTAGCACTGACTAGGGAAAAGTGTTCGAATCAATGAGTCTATGGGGGACATTCTCATTTCAGAATATCACAGGTGTGACCCTATGGTCATGAGGATTGGATCACCCTTTTATAGATTTAATGATTTTATTTTATGGGCATGAGTATCTTGCTTACATGTATGTCTTCCCATGGAGGTCAGAAGAGGGTGTCAAATCCCCTGAACTAGAGTTACAGATGGTTGTGATCTGCCATGTGGGTCCTAGAAACCACCTGAAGGGTGATTCTCTGCCAGAACAACAAGTGCTCTTGACTGATGAGCCATCTCTTCATCTTAAACAGATGCCACTCTTACCTTCCCCTGTGAATTTAGTTAAATTCTGACCCTGTTTACATGGAGTTCAAGTTAGGTCTACATGTTAAAGAATTCAGGCTCTCTCTGGGAATGCCAGTTCATTGATTACTTTTCTCATGGCTGTGTCAAACACCTGACAAAGGCAACTTAAGGAAGGAGGATCTGTTTTGGCTCACAGTTCAGAGGACACAGTCAGACACCGTGGGGGTAGGGGCAATGACTGAGATACACAGTTTTTCTGTCTAGCTTTATGTCATCTTGACACAAGTTAGAGTCATCATAGAGGAGGGAGACTCAATTGAGAAAATGTCTCCATATAAGATTAGTATAGAGGCTGGAGAGATTGCTCAGAGGTTAAGAACCCTGACTGCTTTTCCAAAGGTCCTGAGTTTAATTCCCAGCAACCACAAGGTGGCTCACAACCATCTGTAATGAGATCTGGTGCCCTCATAGAGATACACCTGCCTCTGCCTCCTACTTGCTGGGTTTAAAGGCGTGCGCCACCACCACCCAGTTCAGAACTGACTCTTTTGCTACTAGGAAACCCTGTCTTGAAACCCGGTTTTGAAAAACCAGAAAAAAGGAAAAAGAATGGCTGCCACAGGCTCACATATTTGAATGCTTGACCATTAAGGAGTGGCACTACTTAGAAGAATTAGGAGGTGTAGCCTTGTTAAAGGAAGTGCATCACTGGGGTAGGCTTTGGAGTTTCAGATGCTTGAGCCAGACTTAGTGTCACTGTTCTGCTGCCTGTGAATCTAAAGGCAGACTTCTCAGCTACTTCTCCAGCCCCATGTCTGCTGCATGCTACCGTGCTTCCCACAGGACAAAAGTGAACTAAACTGCGGAACTATAAGGGAGCCCCAGTTAAATGCTTTCTTCTATAAGAGATGTCATGGTTATGGTGCCTTTCACAGCAGTGGAACACTGACTAAGACAGGGATTGAGATTTCTAGTCCCTTAAACTCTTGACTGATTGTTCTGGTAATCAGCTCCCATCCTGAACCTTTTAAGCACACCCCTATCTCTATTATCAAATAATAGACTCATCACTCAGGAGATCCCAAAGACTTTAGGGTCTGTGCTAGGAACAAGGGACAAAGATTCAATATGTGTTACTGTACTGCAGCCCCCAGCTACCCTGAGAGCAGGCTTCCAGAGGTGATCAGGTCACAGGGGAAAGCGTGGGACAACCCCCAGCTAACTATGAGCAGGCAGTCCTTCCAGAGGTGATCAGGTTTCAGGGGAAAGGGAGGGACTTCCAGGAAAGGCACCGGTTCCCACACTTTGGTGCATTTAGAATCTTCCAGGAAGCTTATTCAAAGTATAGATTATTGAATCTAACTCGGTGATTCTTAGCAGTAAGGCCGGAATGTGCCGGAGCATTTATCTTTAATACCAACTAAGTCCCATCGCCACTGAAGTCTGAGGACAGAGAAGGAAGCACAGCTCTGAGTCCCCACCCTTGCCTCACCCCAAAGCATCACTTCTTCCTAGAAGCCTCCCAGCCATACTCTGCAGGGAAAACCCCAACTCTGACTGCAGGTTCTGGTCTTTTCCTTATTAAAAAGGGGGCAGAATCATG